CCTTAATGATTCTATGATTCTGTGATCCCAGGGTGGACTCAGAGCTGGCCGGCACTAGATGGGATTGTCTGATGGCCAGTTTCATTTTGGGAAGGTTGCCGTGAGTCCTGCGGGAAGGAAAGGGGTTGTTTCCCTGTAGCCTGTCTCAAGCACACTGAGTCTTGTCTTTTCATAGCACCCAGGGTGAATGGGACAGTGAAGGGAGAGCGGCGCCGAGACCTGGGCGGGTACGAGAGCTCCTCCACGCTCATGAGCAGTGAGCTGGAGACCACCAGCTTCTTCGATTCAGATGAAGATGACTCCACCAGCAGGTAGGAGAGCCTAGATCCTGGAGGAATACTAGCTTCTCCCTGCCTCCCAGCACAGAGAGATGCCTTTGCAGGGCACAGTAATCCTGGGCTCCAGGGTCCTTGCTCAGACCTGCCTCTGTCTCAAGTCTCACCCAGCAGCCCCCTCTGCTGTTGTCTGTCCCCCACGAGCATGTTCTGCCCCTCTGCCCTTGCAATCCTCTATTCCCTGTGCCATTTCTGTGGCTCTCTTGCTGCCAGAGCCACTACCCTGGCAGCAGAAGAGCTGACTCTTGCTTTTGCCTCTAGGTTTAGCAGTTCAACAGAGCAAAGCAGTGCTTCCCGTCTAATGAGGAGGCACAAGCGACGCCGGCGGAAACAGAAGGCTCCACGCATTGAGCGGGTACCCAGGGGCTGGGTATCCTGGGGAGGGCAGTGCAGGGAAAGGCGGGCTGCCTGGTGGATCTGTCCACTCAGTGCTCCAGGGCTGATCAGGGACTTCATAAAGTGCTGTAAATCTTTCCCAAGCCAATGTAGCCTCAAGAGCTGGGACCACAGACCTTGTCCTGGTTGTAGAGAGGTCATAAGGACTGTGACTGATGCCCTCTGGCTCTGCAAAGCTCCCAGCATAAGGCTGGAGTTGTAAGTGGTGGCTGTGGTGCCACAGGGAGTGGCAGGGAGCACAAGTGGAGGGAGCTGAGGCTGGGAATGTTACTGAGGCACAGGAGGACATCTCATGTTTCGCTTATGTTGCAGTCATCGTCCTTCAGCAGCATCACAGACTCCACCATGTCCCTGAACATCATCACGGTCACGCTGAACATGGGTGAGTGGGAGGTGTGCATGGAGCCTGCAGTCCTTCCAGAGCGAGATTGGGTGGCGGAGAGGGAACTGGGGAGGGGGCAAAGAGAACACATGCGGGGAGGAGTGAGGAGATGGATTCTGTAGGAAAGTGGCTTGTCTTGAAGCACTGGTCTCTCAAGAGTTTCTCTGCATCCCAGGACATCTCTCTGGGACAGGGGTGCAAGCAACCATTATTAGCACATGGTTTGTCTGAGGTTAGGGCTTGCGCCTACTGCTTTATGGTGTCTTACTTCTTTCTCTTTCCGTCCCTGCAGAGAAATACAACTTCCTGGGCATTTCTATTGTGGGACAGAGCAATGAGCGTGGGGATGGAGGCATTTACATTGGCTCTATCATGAAGGGCGGCGCTGTGGCAGCTGATGGCAGGATTGAGCCAGGAGACATGCTCTTGCAGGTACTTAACACCCACATACCTCCATCTTTGGGCCTGGGAAAGCAGTAAGAAAAGACCCAGAAGCCTCCCTGCACAATTTGGCAGGCTAAACCCAGGAAGCTGCGCTTGGAAGAGGGAAGCTGAGTCACTGCTGAGCTGAGTGGGGAGCTCAGCCTCTGGTCACATCTCTGGGACTCACCTCTTTGCGTTGTTTGCAGGTAAATGACATCAACTTTGAGAACATGAGCAACGATGATGCTGTGCGGGTGCTGAGGGAGATTGTGCACAAGCCGGGGTAAGTACTCAGGTTGTTCCTTACCTCCATGGGCAGCTGTACGGTGTGTGTTTGGGGTGTGTGAGTCGTGTCTTCCAGCCACCTCTGCCAGTGGCTCTGCCAGCAGCTCTGGAGAAGCCCGGAACTTATGTTTTTGGTGTTGCTTTCATTCCTGGGTTTTCATGCCCAAAGCAAGAATTGCAGCCAACAGAATGGTGGTGAATTGGGGTCTGTGCCCCTTTTTTGTGAGGTTGCCATGTCATTAGGGTCATCAGCAACCCTCAGCAGGGTCACATCATTTTGTCCGAGCCACTAAGGGAATCCATAGCTGGAGGGGGACAATGGCACTTTGCTGGCAGCTTCTCCCTGTCTCGCAGGAGAGAGCCAGCATACGGCATCTGCCGATCACGCAGGCGTTTGTGCCACTGGGCTCTTGTTCTAACTCTTGCCTTTCTGTTGCAGGCCCATCACCCTGACGGTGGCCAAGTGCTGGGACCCCAGCCCCCGGGGCTGCTTCTCGTTACCCAGGAGTAAGTGGATAGCTGACCCACCCTTAACGCTGGTGCCCAGCTCATGTGAGAGCCCTGCCTTAAGCACTTACTTGGTTGTTGTCTTGTTCCTCCCCTGTGTGTGTGATTCCATGTGGCACTGAATTGGGGTTTGATGGGGTTTCAGCTCTCCTGTTAGGAGGCTGCTATGTCCTATTCCCAGGCCAAAATGCCCAGAAGCCCAGCCCTCCTTCCCACATCACGCTGGGGACGCGTTTCACTGGGGCAGGGGGGTCACTTGCTCGGGGCGCCAGAGGAAAGAGAAACCCCCCTTTGAGCCATAGGGGGATCTCTCCCTCTGCACCTCTCCTGCTGACCCTCCCTCTCTTCTTTCTCTCCCAGTTGCTCCCCAGCGGATCTGGGCTGGGCCAGACTCTCCATGCTCCGATCCGGGTGAGTCCCGGCAGATGCTGGGGATGGAATAGGCTGCGCTGAGTCCCTGTCCCTCCCCAGAGGCTGATTTGATGAGGGGATAATTTCTTATAGCTATTGACTGACTCTTTCTTCACTGCAGGTGAGCCCATCCGGCCCATCGACCCGGCAGCCTGGGTGTCTCACACGGCAGCGATGACTGGCACCTACCCAGCGTACGGTATGAGTCCATCCATGAGCACAATCACTTCCACCAGCTCCTCCATCACCAGCTCCATCCCAGAGACCGAACGTAAGTCCTTGTGCCTCCGTGCTCCACCCGCTGCACGGCTTCCTCGCCTTCACTGTGCTGTAAAGGGAGCAATACATCTGCTTGGGGACAGCTGGGGTGGGCAAGGTCTGCCCTGCCAGGGGACTAAGACGGAAGCAGCTCTCACCAGGCAGGCACTTGGATCAGCGAGAGTTCTGGCTGGGTGAATTAATACCACCTTTTTCAGCCTTCTACGTAAGGAAAGTAGAAGAGCCTGGGTGCAATCCAGGAGCTGTGGCAGGTGCAAAGGAAAGGCTCAGTGCAGTCAGGGGTTACCGGCTGAGAGTGCCAGACCAGAGGGAGTCAGCTTGTCCCTGGAGAAATTGCCCTCCCAGACAGCAGATAGGGCAGGATGGAGGCAGCTGGGAGCAAAGAGCTTTGCAGTGGGGCAGGGTCCTGCTGAGCACAGGGCTCTTCTGGTTGCTTTCTGAAGGTTTTGGGTGATTCTAGTATATAGAGTCCTGAAGCAAGGGTCTAGAGAGCGAGGCAAAAACCCAGAAGTTTGTTGTAAGTTTGTGAGGAGCAGAGAATTCCCTTGCTGGGCTGTGTGGGCTCAGTTGGCAGCTTTTGAATCTCAGCTGCTTGGGACTGGTTGGAAGGAAGGAGACTCTAGCCTGGGTTTTGCACAAGGTGAAATGGCTGACGTGGAAGGATAACGTCGGAAGGCTGGAAGGGGGATTACACAGCATGTGCCTCAAGGCTGTCTGCGATGTATTGTCCCCTGGCCCATTCCTCCTGTGTGTGATGCTTTCATATAGCCCTGTTGTCTTTTCTGTCTCCTCTCATCTCTGCCTCGCTTCCCTTTGTCCACACCACAGGCCTCGATGACTTTCACCTGTCCATCCACAGTGACATGGCCACCATTGTCAAAGCCATGGCCTCACCAGAGTCAGGCCTGGAGGTGCGTGACCGCATGTGGCTGAAGATCACCATCCCCAATGCCTTCATTGGTAAGAGACTGTGCTGCCTGCAGCAGAGGCAGGGAGTGGGGAATGGGTGGCCTGTTTTCCAAGCAGATGCCCAAGAGAGTATCTCTGTCACCATAAACTGTTGACCAGGCCAGAGTCACAAATTGAATCTTTGGCTGTGCAGTCCCTTTTCACCTTTTGGCCCACTTTGTCTTGGCTCCAGTGTGGCCTGCTGCCTCAAGGGCCACTGTCTTCCTTTCTGTTGCTGTATTTAACTCTGATGTTTGGTGGCAGGTTCGGATGTGGTGGATTGGCTCTATCACCATGTGGAGGGCTTTACAGACCGTCGTGAATCCCGCAAATATGCCAGCAATCTGCTGAAGGCTGGCTACATCCGACACACCGTGAACAAGATCACCTTCTCGGAGCAATGCTATTACATCTTTGGGGACCTCTGTGGAAGTATGGCACTTGGCATGGGTGGGAGGGAGAGCATGGAGGGTGGTTGAGGTCCTGCAGAGCCCTGCTAACACCGTGGAGACACAGCTACTGCTGTTGCCATCAGGCTGGGCCCCTTGTTCTAAAGACAAGAGAACATTCTTCCTCTAGAGAGGAAGAATATCCCAGCTCCCTTGTCATGCTGCTGGGGTGATGAAGTTGGAAGGTGACACTGTCACCTACTATGTGATCTTTTCTCCTGGGCAGCCATAACAGAGTCTTAGTCTTTACTGACTTTGCCTCCAGGCTCTGAACTTCCAGTGCTGGTAAGGGGGTGGTGCTCAGACAACTGAGTTTTGCTCAAGAGGGATGGGGGAAGTAATTGGCAGGGTGAGCTGTAGTTCTGATGTGATCCTTTCCCACCAAGCTGGTCTCTGTATTAGAGTGGCAGCTCGGATTCGCATAGCCTGGCTATTGTCCAGCCAGGAAGCACAAATGGTTGCATTGACTAGCAGGGAGAGTGCTGACTTCTTGCATCTCCGTGTGTACCCCATCCTTGTCCATCAGCAAGGGTAGACAGGGAGCTGCTTCATCACGTGTGGTTGTCTTTCTGCTTGGATTAACCCCTCTTCTCTGCTTTCTTGCAGACATGGCTAATCTTTCTCTTCACGATCACGATGGCTCCAGCGGTGCCTCTGATCAGGACACTTTGGCTCCGCTCCCCCACCCAGGAGCCGCACCCTGGCCTATGGCTTTCCCATATCAGTATCCACCGCCTCATCCATACAACCCCCACCCTGGCTTCCCTGACCCAGGCTACAGCTACGGAGGGGGCAGTGCAGGCAGCCAGCACAGTGAAGGTGAGTGAAAAGGACTAAAATAAGCCTGCAGGTGGGCAGATGCCCTGTTCAGTACAGGAAGCAGCAGGAAAAGGCTTAGGCAAGGCCCTGTGTGGAGGGGGAGCCAGGGCAAAAGCCATCTCAGAAGGGTTGTGGGACTCAGAGTTGAAAGGAGACTGAGAGCACGGGCTGTGCTGGCAGATGGCTGTGCTGCAGTGTGCTGTAGTCCTCTCTTGGCTAGAGGAGCATCCTTTCTTCCTGGCTTGTCTGAGCTGTCACCTAACCTTGCCTCGTGCGCTTCGCAGGGAGCCGGAGCAGCGGTTCCAATCGCAGCGGCAGTGAGAGGAGGAAGGAGAGAGAGAAGACCGGGGAGTCCAAGTCAGGTGGCAGCGGAAGCGAGTCGGACC